GGGGGGGGAGAGAGCGAAGGAACAGAGAGAGAGAGAGAGAGAGAGAGAGAGAGAGAGAGAGAGAGAGAGAGAGCAGAAAGGTCATAGACAGAGGATAAAAACTAAAGTAGAGTTGCATTTCCTGATGGAATTCATGAAAGGAACTTCTTGGAAGGCAAAATAGTGTTAAAGTTTCAGTTAAGCATATTGGTTTGTTACAGAAACCCTGTTACAGAGTCCATGCATTAATACTGTTTTTCATAATGTTCTCCTGATTTTGACTTAATTTTCCTCATGAGCAAAAACTGTGCGGCAAATATCTGGCAATCAATATAATCAAAATATCCCAATGTACATATAAAGTATTAATTATAATTAGTACTTTATATGTATATTGGGATATCTTGATTATATTGATTGCCAGATATTTATACCCCCATTTTTGTATAATATAAATATAAATATAAAATACTGATTCAATAAAAAAATGAAAAACACTTTTAAGATCAAATATCAAATATTGCAATGACATCACTACTGCCGGTTAGATATGCATTAAAATTCATGTCCGTAGCACAAACTGTTTATGCATCAAAGTATAATGCATTGGTTTTTGTGTTCGTATGAGAAATAGAAATAGTGGTACTTGTCTTAGCAAACACCAGTAATAAAACAGAGGCACACAAAACAGAATTAAGCTTTAATCAAGTCATTATACCCAAGGAAAAAATATGGAAATGATCAAGCAACAAACCAAAACCTCTCTGTTTTGCTCATTAATAATACAGTCCCATAATCATCTGCCACAAACTTTCCTTTCCCTATTTGATCAAATCCCTCGTTGAGGAGCTCAGGACTGTAGAGAAACTTGAATTCCCTCAAAAACAGTTCAGCTTCCTGTTCCTCCACTTCCAACAGTGCTTACACAGCTCAATGAGATAAACAAGCGAGTTAAAAGATATTACAGCCACACAGATTCATACGTACGCTCACACATGTTGTTAGATGACTATCTGGCAGTAGTTTGTTGTGTTGAGAAACGCTGCTAGTCTGTTTGACTATGTCCAAGCCTAAAGCAGTCTGCTCAATCTAAACTCACTCGATAACCATCTCAGCTGAACGTCAATAAAACAACCACAGTCTAATGACAACCAAAAGAACAAACTCCAACTTATTCCCTGGCAGCCAGTGTTGGGAAACACACAGGACAGACGTAATGAAATACATAATGCTTAATTAAATCAGGAACGAGTCTGAGAGGCTCTGAGTCACCACGGATCATGGGCTAATCATGTTTCTGCTCATGCTGAGAGCTGATTGGCTGAGTGAAGGCCGCCACAGCTGCAAAACAGCTTTCTTACATGCCTTACATATAAACATGAATCTCCACAAATACAGCTATTTGTTGCGGTGCGACACACACTCACACTGTAAACACACATCTATAAAGGACATTTTGAAGTGCTTTCAGGCTATACATGCAATATATTTTGTATACACACAGCTTTTATTGCAAACCTATGGAAGCTGGTTTCCGCCACAGAATAAATAAACATGAAAAAGGTAATTGGGACCTTTTATTTAACAATTCTGACTTTTTTTTCCCTCACAATTTTTAGTTTATATCTCACAATTCTAACTGTTTTTCCTGCTATTCTGAGTTTATATCTCACAATTTGGACTTTGTTTCTCGCAATTCTGAGAAAAAACGTCATTAATCTTAATTTATATCTAACAAGTCGGACTTTGTTTACTGGAATTCAAAAAAAAAAAAAAAGTCAGAATTGTGAGGACAAAAAAAAAAGAAAGAAATTGCTTTCTTTTTTAATTCTGTGGTGGAAACAGGCTTCCATATGTTTGCAATAAAATAAAAAAAACTGTCTGAATTACGAGACGTAAACCAAGAATTCTGACTTTCTCGCAATTCTGACTTTATCAAAATTCTGAGTAAACATCTCACAATTCAGTTTTTTTCCACCACCAAATAAAAATGAAAAAAGTAATAGCTAATTTTTATTATTTTCTCGCAATTCTGCATTTATATCTTGCAATTTTGAAACAAAGTCTGAATTGTGGGTTAAAATTCGCAATTACCTGTCTTACATTTTTATCAAGTGGCAGAAACAGGCGTCCATAGACATTAATCACACTATAGTTCAAAAGTTAGGAGTCAGTAAAAATGCAATAAAAACAGTAATATTGTGAAATATTATTGCAATTTAAAATAATTATTTTCCAGAACCATTACTCCAGTCTTCAGTGTCACATGATCTTTCAGAAATCATTCTAATATGCTGATTTGCTGCTCAAGAAACATTTCTTATTATCAATGTTGAAAACAGTTGCACTATTTTAATAATTTTGTGAAAGAGTATTTTTTCAAGGAATCTTGGATGAACAAAGTTCAAAAGAACAGAATTTACTTGAAATAAAATTTGTGTAACATTATAAATGTCTTTACTGTCACTTTTGACGCAAACGTTAGCATACATATAAAGTTTATGGTGCAATCAACATATCGAAAAGCCCAATGTCACCTCTGTGGTGAAATACACTATAGAAAACACTTGGTTGTAGCTCTAAAATCTGATTGCATGAGCTACGCCATGTCTTGGTTGTTGTGCCACATCTCTTGCCAAACTCCTCCTGATTGTGTTGGCATCTCCCTCGCACATGCCTCTTCTAGAGCTCCAGTTTGTCATCATGAGAAAATGTCCCTCACTTCAAACACTTTCTCTTGATGTACAGTATAGCTGGAGTTTAACAATGCGGTTGTCGTGAAAGATTCTGTAACAATGATGGCTTCATCATTTCTGCCCATGTTTTACAAGTCGATGGGGTTTGTTTTAAACAACTGCTGAGATGGTTGAAAATTCAGTCGTTAAAGGTAGTTAAGAACAAAAATTGTGGAACAATGGATAAAATAAGGCATGCTTGAAGTTATTACTTAAAAAAAAAAAAAAAAAAGTTGATTGTACTCTTATTGGAGAAAAGCATCTAAGCAAGCAATTTCCTACTCTGATTCATGCACAACATCACTCAAACGTTGAATCTACACATAAAAAAATCCAGACAACATTGACCATAATTACCTATTTAACGCTGAGTATTTCATCTTAATGTTTTATGTAAACTTTGAACAGGTTTTCTTTCTAATCCGTTTCCTCAAAGTAAATGTTCTGTGCAATATAAAGTGCACAGCTTAATGTTTAAAGGTCCCCTGAAGTGCCTTGAAACATGTAATTTCAACTGAAATGGGAAGACAGGGCAGGACATATCGAGCAGCCCCACCCCCTTTTTAAATTAGCCAATAGCGTTTTGTTTATATCTGCACGGGTCAGAGCCGTTGAGCTCGGTAAAGCCGCATTTGACAGCCACAGTCTAATAGATTATCCCCTATATTCAATATGAAACTCTTAGTAAAACAAAATAGTGATCATAATCATGCTGAGTCTGTGTAGTTTTAAAAGTGTTTAATATATGCCGACTCGCGCATATGATCCGCTAAGTGCGATCGCGTCTCTGGACCGGAGCAAAAAGTCCGGATCAGACTGTGCGCGCTGTCGCAGTTCGCGTGACACAATGTGAAACCAGACCTCATTTGCCCCAATCGAAAGCATATTTACTCCGTCTGAATCGTTCCCTATCGCCTACATTGTACACTACGTGCCATTCACTGTACAGGAAATACTACACTGTGAACAAGCGACCAATCTCAGCCACAGCTTCAGCATCTATTTATAGTGTAGGTGGCGGGCGCTTCGGCTTTTAGAGAGCGTTTGATTGGTCAGAAGATTTGATGAGAAGGTGAAGTACGATGTGACGTAAAAAAAAACGTTGAGTCGTTTTGGCGGAAGTAACTAAAAGCTTTGAATGCTTATATCTTCTAAATGCTAATTGTGTCACTGTTTTGGAGCACACTGCCTTATAGATAACCTTAAGACTAACATATTGATACTGATACCCCAAATTCTTTAATTTTGATTTCATGGGGACTTTAAGAATATAATGATATTCTAGGGAATTGTGTGCTTCTAATTTTATACCAATAGTTTGAACATGACCCTTTTCTATTTTAACACAACAATGCCTCTGTGTATAATGCAAGGTTAAAAAAAAAAAAAGATTGATTCAGTCAGTGTGGAAGAACTTGACTGGTCTGCATAAAGCCAAGTCCTAATCCCAGCTGAACACCTCTGGTGTGACTAAATGCAGACCTTGAGCCAAAAACTCATAACCAAACACCAATGACTTGTACATACATAAGGACAAAAGTATTGTATATTAAAGTAGTCAAACCTGTTCATTAGAAGGGGGTGTCCCAATACTTTTGGCAAAATAGTGTACAAGACATACCAGCTATTCAAAATCTGTCTGCAATTTAATAATATTGACCTATTACTTTTGCTTTTGACCATTAGGTATCAGTAAGATAATTCATTCAGAACCTGTTTTATGGACATAGACTTTCTGTACCACACTATTCTGCTGATATGGAATGAGTTTGACTACTTAATCAGTTATATTAATAAAAAAATGCTTCACTGGGGCAAACAAAAAAAAATCCTAAAATAATAAATAGGATACCCCATAGCAGCATTTCCAGCAGTATCCAACATTTCTCAATCATGATCTTGTGCTAAACTGTTAGCTTAACAGCTGTATTCCTTGTTTGCTAGCTACCTATGCACATACAGCATACAATGTTAAACATGTTCTACATTATGAACCTTAACCCAAAAACCTGTAGCTTCATACACTGTAAATAAATTGTGACCCTGCCTGAGGAAACCCAGCTAAAGTATTTTTTTTTAAACAGTGGATGAGTAATTCACTCCTTGATTTGCTTAATAAAAGCCTCCTTTGAGATTGTTTTGACAGACATGTTTATTGTGCATTATTTTCAACGTGTTTATTGCCTTAGTTTAGTGTAGCAAAACAGAAGCGCAGCTGTAAATCGCGTGCAGTGTATCTGGTTACCATGACAACCTCACGTGCTTCCTGCTGCTGCTCTGTGTAATCAGAGTGTGAATTTGTAGATTTTCTATTGCAAAACTAAAATGTGTTTAAAAGTGCGACTGACCAAATCGTCCGGCTCGGTTTGCGCCCCCCTCAAACTCGAAGACATCTCTAATTTGACAGTTTACCATCTGATCTCACTCAGTGACTCTAGGCTACTTAGGACGGGACGAAACCATGCAGTGAATGGGGGGATAATTTTGCCGGAAATGCAGAAATAAGCCGGAATTTAGTTTTATTTGTAACTCTTTGGTAGATACATTTATAATTTCTATTACATTACTACTACTACTGTTACTACTAATAAAACAGATATCTGGGGGCCCCAAAAGTGCGTGGGCTCTTAGAATCATCCTAACTTCCCCCCCCCTTAGCGGCACCCCTGGTTGGCAGTGTGTGTACACATCTACCCTATAATGATAAAAATCCACCCAGTGGTTTTTATTTAATCCTTAAAAATAATATCCCCTTTTTCAAATCAGGCCGTTCTCAGCTTCTTGTCTGTGTGATGGCACACAGACCCAGGCCCCTCCCACGGTAGTTGATTGACACAGCCGTCTTACTTTAGACCCACCCTGAGTGACCTGTATTGTTTCGACGGCGGAGCAGGGAAGTAGACAAGAATGGCTCCATAGCGATTGAGGTGTTTTGTTGTTGGATGTAATAATGAACATAGCAGACATCATTTACTCCCGACATCTGAGCCGCTGAAGACGCAGTGGATTACATTTGTTTGTGTAGGGAATGCGCCCCTGATCTGCCTAAATGCGTTTATGTTCGCGCGAATCATTCATGATCCAGCTTCACTTACAGCAGAATTGAGTATAAGGGTTCTATTATGAATCTTTGCAATCGCTATTCCTAATAACGTGCTAGTTAGCAAGTTTCACGGCTAAATGCGGCTAAAGTAAACAGTCTCACGGCTCGTCACCCCATAGAAGAGAGGGGCAGGGTCAGCAGAGCTCATAAGCATTTAAAGCAACATGCAAAAAAACGGGTTGATTTCTGCAGAGTTTTTGACAGGGTAAAAAGGGTGTTTTTTACACTACCATTGAGAACTTTTAACCAAAATATGTTATAGACTTTTCAATAAGACCCTAAAGAATCATATCAACTTGTGGAAAATGGGCATCCGATGAGCCCTTTAAGCTTTTACTTGTCTTGAAGAATCTCATTTTCGTCGGTTAAAAAATTGTTGATGATGAAAATTATAACGAAAATTATTCGTCACTAAAATTAACACTGCTTGGAAATAAGCCACATACCAAAATATCGTGACCTGCACCTTCCTACGTTATTAACTCCATAAACTGGATTGCATTATGTGCCAAGCCCCAACAACAACCCGAACACGTTTAATAAGCTTTGCTTATAATATGTGGGCATGGCAACCCTTCCAGAGCACTCACTACAAAGCTACCTTCCAAACATAAACAAAATGCTATGGCTCTGTCAACAGTGTTTCATTAAATTCACCAAATATTAAGTGCCTTTGGTAGCTTATAATATTGCTTCAAAAATAGCACATACCAAATGCGAAAGATGGCAAAACATTGCTATAAATTTATTCCTTAGAATCATAAACTTTTGCTGGCCACAGAGTTTATTTTCTGCAAAACCAATTCAATCCAACCAATCCAATCCAAAATCAAATGGAAAAATACTATTGGCTTTTTGTCGAAAAAAGCAGGGTGATGATGACTTCCAGGTTGGCCTACAAAATTATGTCATCCCTGCATCACACTATAAGCCATGTGGCTTCAAAACATTTAATCCAATCAGAATTTAGAGTCACAGTTGGGAAAGATTGCTTATTTTCTATAACAAAATGTAACATACCAGAATTTTTCCGTTAGGTTTGTCCTGTCGAGCCAGACTGACCCCCATCCACTCATCATTCCTGTCGCCTTGACACGTCTTCCCGCAGGACTCCCTTTGCTTATTTCCTAGAGTACAGAATGAGAACGTTATTGTAGCCCACAGAGAGACAAACATCTCTGTCTGCAATGAGAAACACACTAATACCACTCTGAGACCAGACAGCCTGAAACAAAAGTCAGACAGTCAATGTTTGAGACTGTTAAATTTGCTTAAATACAGACAATATTGCTTTGTGTTAGTAAGATGAGTACACAAAATATTTGAAATGTAAAACTCATGTGTACCAAATGCAAATATATGGAAGTGTATGAACTTATTCCAATGTTCACAACGCTAGTGGCCAACTGCTCTACTTGGAGAATCAAAGTCTAGAAGCTCTATTTTTATTTCTATTGACCAAATTAACTTCCGATCTCACAAAGCAGTAGCAGAAAGGTGCGTGCAACATACTAAACACTGACTACGTTTACATGGACATCAGTAATCTAATTATTTACCTTATTCAAAATAAGACAATATTATGATTAAGGTGTTTACATGAGTTGCTTTTAGAATATTCCTTTCATGTTCCCGTTTTACATGTTATAGTACATAGTTCGATTAATGGCACACGTCATTACGTCACCACGCGACGCCATCCGACTTCCCCTCCGGAATTTCATGTATAAACATATAGTTTGTCTTCGTGATGATGCCATGTACAGTTTTGGGTGTTTCATTTGTAATTTTATGAAAGCTTCAAGTGCAGTTAATTATTTGTACATGCATACAGACGATGGTGGTGTTGAAGCTCTTTTATTTGCCGTCAAATGGTTGACCACTGCCGTGTGTGTATCCTGTTGCAAAAAGGGGATGAAAAGTCCTACACGACGGTAATAATGTGATTAAGGTGTTTACATGTCTATACTGCACTTCGGTAATGCGACTAAAATAGGAATAGTCCACACGTCTTAATTCGAATAGTGTTTACTTTGATTATGACTTTAGCTGGATTAAGGTAAGTAAAAATCTCTGTTTACATGGTAGATTCTTAATCAGAGTATTGTCTTAATCGTATTAAAATCTGAGTATTGTTGTCCATTTAAACGTACTGACTGATTAATGAACTTTGGCTTCAAAAGCCATGCAAAACACATCTAGACTATTACTGAAGGATGTTGTATATACTGCTCTACAAAAAAAGTACATTAATATGGTGATCATTTAGTACCATGGTACATAGTCAAATCATGTCACATTTATTTATATAGCACTACATCTAATAAAGATTCTTTCAAAGCAGCTTCACGGTAATAAACAGCAAAATAACAGTGTTAGTTTAAAAAGTGTGTATTCAGTGTTGACTCAATTTAGTTCAATAACAGTTTCAATGTTTCAGAATTTAAAACCATAAAAAAAAGGCATTAAAAAAAACTCAATGCATGATCACAAATCATTTACCTCAAAAGTTTAGGATTAAAAAACCCTACACTGGTGACCTCGGAAAATATAAACCATGAGATATCAGCTTCTTGAATCAGACATGATCTATTTTGGAGGTATTCTATTGTCTATTTTGGGTATTTAACTGCACAAAAGTGGAGGATTTACAAGCAAGGCGTTATTCCTACAGGGAGTTTATCTAAGCATAAGGGTCGGCTTTAATGTTTATCTATGAGCGTTGAGCTACAGCGGACCTCTGAGGGGCAAACTGTGATTGTCCGAAGGAGAAAGAGTGATGGCTCCCGGGACAGCGGCTGTTTTCTTTGGCTCTGGTTCTTTTCTCCTCCTTCTCAGCAGACTGACAGCATTGGTGCGGAGACTTGCAAAACGCCAAACTGAACTAGGATTCCTATTCTACTACTCCCACCCAGTTTTTAATGAATCAATGCATAACCCGAAATCTTCACACCAGCTCAAAAACTAGTCAATTGTTCTGGCATCTACTTCCTACAAAGACAACATCCTATCTGTCACACTCAAAAGTGATTTGAAATGCCCTACAAGTGTCAAGGAAATAGTGCGCCATATGCAATACTTCACTTTTGATCAATTTAGTGCATTTTTGCTGATTAAAACTTCTAAGAATCTTACTGAACCCAAACATTTGAGCAGCAGTGTCATGTAGAAAGTTTTAGTGATTCTGCTCCACCAGCAAGACGAGCACTAACCAAGAGAAACTAGCATGAACTTGGATGGAAATTATAGCAGTATTAATAGCAATATTATTTAGTCTTTTATAGCAGCTATTAAATATAGCTCCAGACCTCCTAAACAGCAGCTTGTCAAAGGTGGGACAATTGGTTCTAATCATGTCTTGTTCGGGTTGTTTGAAGTTAATGCTTTTGCCCCCAAAGCTGCGAAGCATCCAAAGCACACAAAGACGAGCGCCAGATCTCAAGTTAGGAGGGAAACACAAACTGTCAAAAACCAAGATGAAGTTTGCTTGGGATATGGACAAAACATTATTTTCAGCAATTAGCAGCAAAGCACCATCCAAAAAAACACTACTCATTGAAAACAGATATATTTCACAGGGTCAAGACTGCAGGCAAACAGCGAGAAGAATTCCCTTCTTAAAAACCTTGGCCATCACTTCAAATAAGAAGGCGCAAGGAATGTTCATCCAACTATAAACATCTCATCAAATCAGCAACCCCGGTTCCCCCCCCGGCCATCTCCGTAACGGACGTGTTTGTTTTCGCATCTGTGTGGGTCCTGAGTGCCGCGTTCTTCTGGTTGTGAAACGCTTAGCGAGGGGATGAGAAGTAGGATGAGATCTGGAAGCATGTAGTGAGCGAGCGTGAGCCCGGAGTGTGCTGGTCAGTTAACGGATAACTGAAAGAAAACAAATGCGCATGCTAGTTTGATCAGGGCAACTATGATGGAGAGTTGGTCAACAGTGAATGTGGTGAAAGATTTGTCAGGTGAGGATCTTTTTAACACTGTGGAAACAAACCTGATCAACCAATAACAGTCCAGTACAGTGGATGGCATTAGCATGTTGCTCAGCTAGCAATGCAACACTAACACACAAACAGTTTTAATTAGATTTCACTAAATTTCTGTACAATTTGCACTATTGAATGAAATGTAATCAACCCAGGGTCATTAGAAAAATTTGCTCCAAAATGAGCAATGAGCACTAGTGGTAGTAAAACAAAAACTACTTTTATTCCTTTCCACACAAATTATGATTACGGAGGCTATAAAGACTTAATTTTTGGCAGTTCCTTGCACAATACTATGTTAAGACACTTTTACCATAGTACATTATTTGCAAACTAATACATTTGAATGTTTTTAATCACACAAACAACTCCATATGCATGTCTTTTATGACGTAGTAAACTTGCTCATTAGCTCACCTGGTACAGATGGGTACGAGTCACTTAAAACACGAGTCAAAAAACTCCACAAAAGAGATCAAAGCCTCATATAAACATGCTAAAATGCATGGTAGCAAATGCTTTTTTATCTCATGTTTGCTGTTGTTAACACTATCAGTTAGGTTTAGTGTAGATGGCATTTAATTTTCTGAACTGCTGTGATGCGTACAACGATCAACGTAATAAAACAATGCCAGATTCATATTTGTTGGATAAAACTGAATGCACTTTTAGAGCCACTCACTGGACATTTTACTCCACAACATGTGCACAAAACAACATAATATCATTTTGCATAAATGTTGCCACAGGCCTCTTTTCCCAATGAACCTGGGTTGAGTATAAGTATATTTATAATAAACATTTCTCTCATCTTTTATGCCAGTTCTTCCACTGAACTTGCAATTGCTTTTCCTTGAGGAACACATGCCATGCTGCCTTTGAAATTGGCCAAAATTTTGTTCTGAAATTACACCTATGAAGAATGGAGTCTAGGTAGTCAGCTCTCTAGGTTTTGGAACAGATCTATTCCTATAGTACACTATAAAACACATCCTTCAGTACCCTCATCACCCAGACAATCAACTGGCTCTATTACTCTAAATAAAGATTGTAATTGCTCATCCTAAATATGGCTTTGAATAGGTTCTGTGTTGCTTAGAAGGAAATAGCATAATTACTGTATTTGATGAAGCTGAGACATACTAGAAAGTGGAGAATTGCTTCCCATAACAACCGAGGACAATGCATTTCACTTTACCAGTAAAGAACTTCAACGAAGGCTGTAAAAACAGAAGAAAGGATCTGCAATACACAGCTAAAGAATTGCTCAAAATATGCTTGCAATTATCAAGATCAAGACCATTTCGTAACCGATAAATAGCTTCATGTCTGCAAGCAGATGAGTAAATGGTACTGCGATCTGATCTGGAAGTTAAAACGTCTTTGTTTCTTACAAACACACAGCTTGTCGCTTCACAAGTCATTAACTGATGGACTGGAGTGGTGTGGATTACTTGTGGATTATTGTGATGTTTTTATCAGCTGTTTGGACTCATTCTGACGGCACCCAGTCACTGCAGAGCATCCATTGGTGAGCAAGTGACGTAATGCTGCATTTCTACAAATCTGTTCTGATGAAGAAACAAACTCATCTACATCTTGGATGGCCTGAGGGTGAGTACATTTTCAGCAAATTTTCATTTTTTGGGTGAACTATTCCTTTAACAGCACTTCAGAGAAACGGAAACTAGTTCACTATATCAGTAGCAATATTTCTCAAGGGGGGCCCATGAAGGGTCTTATCCCAAATGATTAATGTACACTCAAAGCTGGGGCCCCAGGACACGCCTCATTTGCTCATGTGTGTTCTGTCAGTAAGACAGCGCAAGCAGGAGTGTGCGCATTAAAGCCACACAAACTGCTCTCATCTCTCCACCACAAGAAAAGAGCTTCAAGAGATTTCTACACATTGGATCCTTGGCAAGGCCGTTTGGAAAATATTAGCCAAACCATTCATCATTTCTATCAAAATACTTCAGGAGCCAGACTACAGACATTTTAACTGATTTCACACAGTAATATTACTAATGTTAAAAAGATAAAAACAATGATATTGTCAGCTGTCCATCACATAAACACGCTCATAGTATGATGCATGTTTATAGAAGTAAAAGTGTAAATCGACCCACTATCAGTGCTGAAAGTGAGTGTTAGTGTAACAGGGGTAATGTGAAAATAACAGGATAAGATAACAACCATGTTAAACCATGTTAGAGCTGTTAAAGTGACAAAAACAAGGCTGCTAAAACAATCGTCCAGGCAGGTTTTCAAATATCGACTGGTCCAAAATCCATCCATGTTTAATTCCATGAGTGATTACAGTTGTACAGTGGTTTGGGTATTTTTAACTACCCGTGTAAAACAGTTCTGCTCTTTTACCGGCTGATTTGACTGCGCAGATGGCATCGTCTAACTGTTTTTCATTTAAACTGGTGCTGTCAAACCAAGCACATCTGATATAATGATAATAGATCAACACATTTTCACTTCCTTTTTTACAAAAGATCTTTAGACACAGTTTGACATCTTTACATAGAGAGCTGTGCAATAATATAGCTACATTTGTTTGGATGATATAAACAATCACACAGCTGAGATTTCCTATATGGTTCATATTGCTTTACACAAGTATACTGTATGCATCTGGAGAAAGTTATACTTTTTATATAAAAGTTACATACTTTATATACTTATTATTTTATATGGACATACTTTTATATCCAACTTTATGTAAAGATCCAGATGATAATATAGTTAATTTTTGTGACAAAAAAAAGTCAGTTAAGATTTGCTATTTAGTCTATAGGCCTACCACTTTAAGTGAGGATATGTTTGTGGATAAAGTTGGACATAATACATCCAACTTTATATTTAGAGTCTGACAATAATATAGTCACATTTTTGATTATATAAACAATCACGCAGCTGAGATGTGGCTTTATGTAAACATAGGTATACAGGTAAAGTAAGAGCTACTGCATGTGTGCTCTGTATATTTGTGAGATACACACCTCTGCCGAGGTCCATCTCAGTGCAGCGTTGCTCTGGGTTGTTGCGGATTCGGCACTTGTATACAGCTCCAGGTGATTGAACCGAACTGCTGAATGATGAGTTTGCTCTGGGAGCCCCAACCACAATCCTACAGACATCAGGAGAAACAGTGTCACTGTACATCACAATACAACTACACACACAACTTGGGATGCTTGGGACAGAAGTCCATTTATACAGCTTTTTATCATTATAAAATGGAAAACAAAACTAGACTTTGTAGGTCTGTTTTTGTCTGTAAGTGTCATAGATGAATAATAGGGAAGCCTAATAAATGAATTAGCCCTGGAGGTGGTTTTGCCTGGTCATACTGTCATGGTTTGGCTCTACAATTCGGTGATGCAAGAACTACATAATCATCTCCACTGAAGCAACGGCAATGTTTTGGGCGCTGGCCAGTGTTTCCCTTTAAACTTTAGGACAGCCCTTGGCTTGGAAGAAAGGCTTAACATCTGTACCGTCATAAGAGACGTTGCAAAAGGTTGCATGTCTGAAATGTAATGGCAAGAGTTGAGTCAAAAAAGTAAGGGAAAACATTGTACTTTTGTTAGCATGAACTGAGTAAAGCTAAAGAAATGCATGCACATAAGTGTAATTATTTTGTGGTGCCGCTTGTAATCGCAGTTTAAAAGCCCTAAATGCCTTGCATTAGATTAGACAACAAAACATCAAACCAAATGTCACTCTCCAAATGCATAAGGAGCTTTTTCCAGAATTACTTGAATAACTCACTTGTTCATTCTTGCTCAGAGACTGGTTTGAAATCAAAATATATGCAACTTAGTTTGGTTTTTATCATCTTACGCAATACTAATACACATTTTAATAGTCCAAATTATTTTTTAGAGCCACAGTGACAATCCAACACCAAGATAAATCAAAATAAACAAGACAATCTACACAGAAAACGTAAATAACTCACCTAGCGCTAAACCAATATTAGCGTAACCATAGCGACGGAGCGGCGCTTTTGCAAAAAGCGAGCGCTGTCATCATTTATTATTTTATTAGCTACATATTGATTTAAGACAAAACTGTTAAAAATGCATTTAAGTTTACATTTGACATACTATGCTTGCGGCGTCAATGTTACGACATTTAACGTTTTTTTTTAACATGCGGTCTTTTAGGTTACATTTAGACCACTGTTTTAATCATTCATATATCATTAAGAACATTTCAGTGACCACAAAAGTTTAATTACGCGATTATTTTCACCTGAGAAAACTGACATTTAACCTTAACTTTACCTGAGGAGGTAACCTTGGCAACCGAAGACCGCTCGAGCGCTTACCGTTAGGAAAGTAACGGCAAAATGTAAGTACTGATTATTCATTATATATATATATATATATATATACATAAAACTTTATTTTTGATTTCTATAAAGTCTTTAAGACAGTTTACCTTTGTACACTGACATTTAACCTTAACTTTACCTGAGGAGGTAACCTTGGCAACCGAAGACCGCTCGAGCGCTTACCGTTAGGAAAGTAACGGCAAAATGTAAGTACTGATTATTCATTATATATATATATATATATATATATATACATAAAACTTTATTTTTGATTTCTATAAAGTCTTTAAGACAGTTTACCTTTGTACCAGGGACGCCAAAAGACAATTTGAGATAAACCTCAACAGGCTAAAGTGAGGGAATACTCATTTTCACCATTAAAACAACTACAAAGACGCAAAACTGACTGTATAAACGCGTATTCCCTTCCAGAGCAAGTACTCACCAGCGTGTGTTGTCATGGACGTGCTCCAGCACCGAATATCCAAAAAACGTCGCATCTGGTCCTCGGAACACCGCGGGATGTTGTAAGTCAATGTTGAAGGAATTAGCCAAAGAAGCCAAACACAAACACACAAAAACATCCAAAGCGCTGCTTCTCCGTGTAGAAAATTCCGTCATTCTGTTGCGCATCCTCAGTGTTCAACCTGATGAGAACTTTACAAACGCTATTAAATCTGTCAATAAAGTCCCAAAATGGAAAAACTACATGTATACGATTACACGACTTCCTTTTCTTAATCGTGGGAACTAAGCGCACGCAAACAGGGTTTGAGTTTGTGGATCGGAGGCTTGGGTCAGGATGGGGCGCTCATCTCTTCTGCTGCGTCTCTGGAGTTTCTCTTGGCATTAAAGCGCTGCGCTCGAGATGACGCGCGCATGCGCTGTTGAGCGCCAGCATCACATTTCACGTTACAGGCCGAGGAGCGCGTGGCGCCGCGCCCACTGGCGACACCTACCGACAGCGCTCAGTACTGCAGCTCATTACTGGCCTGCTAGAGCACATCATAAGAACATATTTATATATTTACATACTGTAAAAGTTTTACACACTGTGACATAGGTTTGGTCAATAGTCTGTTTAAAAAGGAGATCCTTGGTTTTTCTATATTTGGCGAAAATGTAATATATATATATATATATATACACACACACACACTGCCGTTCAAAAGTTTGGGATCAGTAAGATTTGTAATGTTTTTTTTAAAGTCTCTTCTGCTCATCAAGGCTGCATTTATTTGATTAGAAATACAGAAAAAACTGTAATATTGTGAAATATTATTGCAATTTAAAATAAAGGTTTTCTGTTTTAATATACTTTAAAATGTAATTTATTTCTGTGATGTGCAGCTGTATTTTCAGCATCATTACTCCAGTCTTCAGTGTCACATGATCTTCAGAAATCAGTATAATATGCTGATTTATTACCAATGTTGGAAACAGTTGTGCTGCTTAATATTTTTTTTGGAACCTGTGATAATTTTTTCAGGATTCTTTGATGAATAAAAAGTTAAAAAGCACTTTTTTTTTTTTTAGAATAAATATTTTGTAACTATACACTACCATTCAATAGTTTGGGGTCAGTATTTTATTTATTTTAATTTTTTTTAAAGAAATGCCTTTATTAAGGTTCCAAAAAAAAAAAAAAAAAATTAACAATTGTTTTCAATATTGATAATAAATCAGCATTTAAGAATGATTTCTGAAGGATCATGTGACACTGAAGACTGGAGTAATGATGCTGAAAATACAGGTTTACATCACAGGAATAAATTACATTTTACACTATATTCAAATAGAAAACAGTTATTTGAAATTGAAATAATATTTTAGAATATTACTGTTTTTACTGTATTTATGATCAAATAAATGCAGCCTCGGTGAGCAGAAGAAACTTAAAAATAAATAAATGGTATTTTGAATGGTAATTTGTGTAAAATAGAATGAACTACAAAGTTAACCGAGCAGTTGTATTGATAATAAATCAGCATTTAAGAATGATTTCTGAAGGATCATGTGACACTGAAGACTGGAGTAATGATGCTGAAAATACAGGTTTACATCACAGGAATAAATTACATTTTACACTATATTCAAATAGAAAACCTTTATTTTAAATTGTAATAATATTTCACAATATTACAGTTTTTTCTGATCAAATAAATGCAGCATTGATAAACAGAAGAGACTTCTTTAAAAAACATTACAAATCTTACTGATCCCAAACTTTTGAACAGCAGTATATATACTAAATTATTATAAATAATATACTATATATAATTTTAAGCATCTGAATACTGACACTAAAAATGGTGATCATGTTTTTGTTTTTTTGGAGATATATATTCTGCTGTGTATTAATCTACACTTACTTCTATATATATATATATATATATATATATATATACATACACACACACACATACACACACAGTGTGTAATGCAAATGTGCTCATTCTCTGGAGTATATCTGAATGCTGACACCATAAAATAGTGATAATGTTTAATGCTTTTGTTTTTTGGTGGTCCCTGTATCATGGTATATAAATATGGTAATCATTCAGCATCACAATATCTCTTGTACAAAATCTTTGCATATTTATACATTATTTGGCCAACAGCGACTATATTATAGTGAGAATTAATCTGATGCTTAACCAGTCTTACCTGACAACCGCAACATACAGCAATGTTGCCAGAGCTTCTGCATGCAGAAAAAAAGAGGATTTGAATGTAGTGTAAATAAAACTTTATTAGTTCTCTTAAAATGTATTATTATTTCGCAGTAAAGACAATGTTACAAAAATTTCTATTTCGAAAAAAATTGTAGCTTTTGAACTTTCTATTCATCAAAGAATCGTGAAAATAAAATGTATCAGGTTCCACAAAAATATGAAGCAGCATTGATCATAACCAGAAATGTTTTTTGAGCAGTAAATCAGCATATCAGAATGATTTCTGAAGATCATGTGACACTGAAGACTGGAGTAATGATGCTGAAAATTCATTTTTGATCACAGAAATAAATTATATTTGACTTTATATTACAATAGAAAACAGTTATTTTAAATTGTAATAATATTCCTGTCTTTACTGTATTTTTTGAACAAATAAACGCAGCCTTGGTGAGCAGAAGAGACTTAAATCGAAAAATCGAAACGGTAGTGTAAAGTAAATGCTATTGGCTATAAAAATAGTTACAGAACAGTGATTTCCTGAATGAGTGGTTTAACAAAAAGCAAAGCAGCAACTAAACAACTGGAGAAATTGAAATAAATGTCAGGAATTCAGTTTCCAGGAAAGGAAACAGTGAGCACACTGCAGAAACCTGTTAAAAAACCACAAAGTATTTGATAAGAAACACGTATGTGCTTCATTTAGCATCTGATCGGCTCCCTCTCGGCACATGAACATCAATGCATCAATGCTGTACATCTGGGACGCCGGTTTCAGCCAGTTTGTTAACATATGGAGAGTTACGGAGAGTCTTTGAAGGCTACGCTTAAACTCACAGCTGCTTCTGCATACTAAAGACACGCTCACCATCACACGGGAATCCTCACGCTCCAGAACCTTCTGCGCCTGGTCCGGAGGAAACTTCAGCATGGATGTTATAACTTTGGCCATTGTCTGAAGAAACAAGATGCAACAGAAAAAAAAGGGATGCAACTGAAATTCTGCATTTAATATTACAGTATGTTATTTAAGAGCAAGAAATGACAACTTAAAGGGGTCATATGATGCTTTTTTAAAGATCATTATTTTGTGTATTTGGCATAACAGAATATGTTGACATGCTTTAATGTTCAAAAAACACATTATTTTTCAAATACTGTACATTATTGTAGGTCCTCTATGCCCCGCCTCTCTCAAACGCTTCGTTTTCTACAAAGTCCCTCCTTCCGACAAGCGCAGTCTGCTCTGATTGGCCAGCTGACCCAGTGCATTGTGATTGGCCGAACACCGCAAGCACTCGTCAGAAATGTAACGCCTCTTACCATAATCGCTTCAGCTTTCAAAATAAATGTAAAGACAGAGCCCGAAAGGGGAACAGAGTCGTGTGACAGACACAGTGATGAAGCTGGTATGTGTTTGCAGTACACAAGCCACGATTAAGACAGCCGACTCCCTGTGATGTGACCCCCCCCCATCTCTATCGCGCTCACGCGCGCACACACACACACACACACACGATGCGCAAAACTCTGCA